TTGCTCAAATTACAGCAAACCCAAAATAGATTGTGGTGCTGATGAATTCAGGTTGTCTGCTTTGAAAAGACTAAATAAAATCATGACCATGTGGAAATGTCAGGGAGAGATGGACATGGATAAACTAAATATGTGTGTCATGATGCGGTGGAATCAGGCATTCATCAATGTTTTGGCGTGTGGACTTAACGCATTCATCTTAAATCTTAAAGCTTGTTCATTTGTCTTGCATTCGATGAAAAAATATCCATCTATCGTGAGTCGAAGTTCAGATATTTTCAATTGCAAATGACAGGGGTTACCGGGTTTCAGAGGTAAAATTATCGAGAAAATGGTCACCAAAGATTGGCAGCTTCAAAGCTTGAAAGTCATTGGGAAATGAACATTTACATTTTCTATGCTCAACATTTTTTTCAGTAAAATTCACACAGAAATGTTTTTTAAATTAGACATAAAAAGTGTTGAGCTGAAAAAACATTCTAAAAATATTGCCAAACGGGTGGAAAATAGTCGTTTTCTTGTATTTCATTATTTTAACGAGCGCCTGAATTCACCACGATGCCTATCAGATAACTTAATTAAGTTTGGAGTACCCAACAATGAAGAAGGGGACAATCATTTAAAAATGATAATAGCGCATTTAGACTCCGGAATGTTTAATTTACAGTAAAGTGAACTGATGTAGTTAGAGTGGTGTCTACTTTAGATGTGGATTTTACTTTGAGTCACAATTATTTTCATCTTACTTTTACTTTTATTCCCTGAATTTTTCCCCTTTTTTCTACCCCCGGATTTGTTCTCTTAGTCTGTTATTTACCATTTGACATTAAAAGGATATTTTTAATATTAAAAGTCATGTTGTTTTACTTTTTGTCTTCGTCAAGTCTCTATGCTGCCTGACATTTGGCACTTCTGAGTTTGAATCCTTAGTTCTTTTGTTCAAATCCTTCCTGTAATATCTCAAGGTTCACTTTGGAGTCTTCCACCTTCATCGTCCAACTTTTGACATAGTCCAACTTTAGAGACACATGTGCAGGGATATTAGTTTTTTTTCTTTGATTTTATTAAAATGTAATTTTGATCTGAGTACAAAGCCTGAAAATACAGCGGGGGGGGGGGGGACACACTAGACTCTTGATTTCTGTGAAGCAACATGGTGTTGTGTTAAAATGGATCAGCTGCACAACGTACAAAGGACTGAATGGTTTTCTTCGAGAAAAAAATTTGGGCAATATGTTTGTGACATTATTTAGGATAAATAGGTGCCTTTTACTAAGTCATACAATGTGGTATGATTGCGGTTCTAAATTTCTTATGCTACAATCCTCACAATTTTACCAACATTGGAGATGTGTTGCTTCAATCTAGCCTGTCACAGCCAGCCCAGGCTATTTGGGATCTTAATAATAATAATTGGTAACATCTGCATAGCGCAAATTCCCGCTCAAAAGAAAGCTCTGAGTGCTTTACGATCTATATTATTACCCCAACAGACCTGAGAGCGTTCATTAAACTATCTCAACTTCCTGGGAAGCAAACAGTGCAAGCTGCCATTCCATAGCAATAAAATACTGACAAGATTCACTGTCTATGGCCGGTTACTGATTCCCACCTGGGTGAAGTGAGGAAAATTTGTGTAAAGTAAAGAGTCTTTCCCAAGGACAACAACATCGGGCCTGAGGTTCGAACCCCCGGAATCACAACCCCACTACTACCAGTTCGGAAACCTAACCGCTAGACTACCGACTTCACATCTTCCTTGTTGAAACAACAATTGATAAAATATTGTTCCTCCTTAGATCTAAACGCATGTTGTCTATCCGCAAAGTAAAAATCCTCACCACTACACTGCAGAAACTGGTCAAGGCGTCTAAGACCAAGACTGAGAATTTAAGTGGTATGCTCACAGTACAGTACAGTAGCACCTGACCACCCACTTGGCGGCACTTGCAACACAATAGGGTCATATATAAGAGCCGAAGATTAGAGGTGTTATAAGATAAGAGTAACAAACACAAAAAAGAAGGAGGGGAGATCAGGACGATAGATGTTCGATAGGAAAGAAGCAGCAAAGCACACCAGAGCACCCACCAACCACCCACACCGAACCTCTTCACCCCAGATCTCTACCTAGCGCAGAACTCTGCACACAGATAAATAATCCCAAGATACAATTGTGGAACTGGTCCAGTTCAGTTTCAAAATATTGAATTGGGTGTATTGAGAACGACACGCTATACTTGTCTGCCACACACTCAAAAACTCCTCCACATTCAACCATGAGAGTTAAAGAAAAAACAAAACCAAAGTCAATGTATGAATGTAATATTATAACATTTATTATGACCTCAAAAAATTAAAAGGAGGTGCTGGTATTAACGGACAAAATATTTCAGTGAGTAATCGCAAGTAAAAATACAATTGATTCAAGAGACAACTAACAATTTTCTTTGAACATGGATACTAATGCTTTTCATGGAAATGCTTTCTGTTCATGAGAGAACCATTGGAGGAACACAAAACAAAAGTTTGATAGTGCCATTAAATCGTCAAACTCAAACACCGAGTTCCATCATGAAATCTTCTCTCAAAGTCACTTCCAGCACGGTGTGCACTTAAATGCAAATCATTCAAACTTCGACAAAAAAAGTAACTACTCTGTGGTCTGAAAGTTCGCAAAAATTTATTACATATAAATAACTGACCGCAGAATGAATTTGAGTTGAAAACTGAATGGTCGGCAGGACGGCAAAATTTAGCACAGGCCTACATCTCAATCAAATAGACTCCCCCCCCCCCTTCCGCTTTTTTGTCCATAAGCAAATTATTAGACATCACAAGACCTAACAAGAGATCCATGCTAAAAGCTGTAAAATAAGCCAAATATCTATACAGCATGTCTCTAAGAAATCTTCACCTTCAACTCAACTGGACATTAGGAGGTTGTCCTTGGTCAAGTCACGGAAATACGTGTCTACTTCTAACCTTACCACAGCCAAAGTTGCACTTGGAACATCCAATCGTCACACAACGACCATGGCCTACCGCACGTATATACATACGTACACGAGATAAACACCAGCAGAGACCTCACTACCTTCTCTGAAATGAATCCCTCAACGATAGTCCACACAAATCCCTCACTAAAAGCAGAAAAAAGCTAAATAAAAAAGAGCAAGACACCGTGTAAAAGAAAGACAGGCATTGCAAGACAGAATCTGGTTCAGCTCTCTGCATGAGGAAGGCACCAACATACTCAGTTTCCAGAACAGCTGACCAGCTCTGCATATCAGGCCAGAATTAAGGCTTTAAAAACACAAGATAACTGTTCAACTCTTTACAAGGCGGAAGTAAAAAGAGCGTAATATATCTATATATATATATTTATATGTTTGTATGCATATTTATGATAAGACAAAATCAAATGTACATTGGAATACTATTGTTTGAAGAAACTATACATGATATTGAAATGTACCTTATGAAAACATACATACCACTCAACGGTGCAGAATTGATACATGTATAATGAATAAAGTCAAAACACAGTCTCAACATTAAAAGAGGTGAAAACAAGCCACTTATCCTTTCAACATTCAGCCATTTACAAGAATAAATCCCTCACTTTTCAGACAACCTTTCAGAGCAGCCAAGAACCATTGTCAGATTCAAAGTCTCAAAGTCTTCCAGCTATAACAAAGCAGCAGAGAGACTTTTCAGAGAACCATTTCTCTCTATGGAAATAGAAGGGTCAGAAAATAGAAAAGGTTGAGCTTCCAAGAGGCCATTTCTGCGGCCACTAAACTTCTCAAAGAAAATCATAAGTTCAAGTGGAGCAACAAATACCCATACATTACAGGCATTGAAACTCACACTTGTGTTGCAACTGAACAAAAATATGGATTTTTCCCTCACCATCTAAAGTTTCTTATTATTTTCCCTGCTTATAAATACTTTGTGCAATAGAATAGGTTTTTAAAAAAAAAACCACCTTGTCAAAGCTAAGAGCAGTCTCAAACCATAGCAGTTATGACCTTTTATCAAATAGCATTATAATCTCTAATACAAATCCATGAAAAGAACGAAAAACTTAACAAGAAAACAAACAACAGATATACAATGAAATTGGAAATAAAAAGTTGAATCAGCCACCAAGAAATATGCTGTGAGACCTATATTGATAAAATATTCGTACTGATAAAACCCTCTAAAGTCATGAAAACAGGGGGGGGGGAACTAAATATCCTGAAGTGAAACTGACTTCTAAATAAAAATAAGAGAAAACTCCAGAGCTGCAAAGTCGGAGATACAACCAAAGTCTATCAGGGTAATAAAACAACCCTTTTTCAAGCCTGAAATACCAAAACACACAGCCCAAAACATCACTTGATCATAAAAATGTACTAGTCCACTCCATCCTAGTTCAGTCAAAATGTAACATGTCCATAAAAAAGATACAAGGAACCAGACGATGAAAATCAAGCCTGAACCAACAGAGATTTTTTAAAAATTAATTAACCCTATCCGTACGTCATGTTTTCTTATCATATCCATACGACGAGGGGAACTCTGTGCCACCACTTTCCAAAGAGGATATTTACTCGTTAATCCGATCAGTGCGCTTTGCATAGCAGTCTGTCAAAATGATTTTTTGAGAAATACTGAAAGTTTCAACGAGATCTTCATACTAGAAGTATTCTAAAATGTGAAGAATACAACCCCTGGGGTACAAAATGACCCCAGGGCGTAGGATAGGGTTAAAAAGACAACCAAATGTTTCTACAAATAAAATTGCATCAAATTTTTCCATTACAGCTGTGCTAAGAATCATTACTGAGGTTCAAATCACTTCCATTTTCATAAGTCATTTTTCTGCTGAAACCGAAGAACCTCAGGAAATATTCATTCAGTTCAGTCAGGAGAGAATTTCATAATTTGCATCCATATCTGGCATGAAGCCACAACATTTCCTCGCATAATTAAATCACAAAGGTTTTGGGTTTTTTTATCGAAAATTTATTTCAGACATTGACAACAGTAAAAAGTTGACACTGCATAGTACATAAATGCATATGAGACGAAATAAACAGATCGATCAGTAAACAACAAAATAAATTGCAACAAAACAGGATAAATAAAGTAACAAGAACACAACCTCTCAAGACTTGCAGTGACATTTCCCAGTAACACTTGCGTACCACACAAACTTCTCAAAATACATGACATACGTATATACATTCACTTGAATAGAGCTTTCCAGTCAGCTTACATAATATGCCTTTATGCTTGTACTACAAATCTTTCCAGCTCTAAATACAACTGGGTGATGAAAAAAACATTTAGCACAACTGCATAAAATGTTTATCTTATTACACTCTGTTTTAAAATAAAGTCTGCCTGTCTTTCCTCACTCATTTTCCTTTTTCTCGTCACCAAGTGTGCAGCATACCACAGACTGAAGCTCAAATCTGGAATATTTCGTGCTGCAAACTCCTGTCCAGGAAACTGAATCACAGTCAAAATAATTGCATGACATTACAGAGGAGAACCCAAGACTTGTTAAATACTATATTAATGATTCAAGCTCAATCAATATATCCAAAGCATGATTTTGATGTAAGAAATCAAAGGAGAATTTAAAAAATCAATTTTCTCATACCAAAAGGCCTCTGGAATATTTCTGAAGTTTTGACCCAAGAGGGCAACTATGCACAGGTACTTTGATGAATTATGCACAGAAAAAATAAATTACGTAATTATGTATAATTCGATAAAATGTCAGAGACTGAACAATTTGTTCAGGTGGTTCACGTCACTGAGCGCAATGAAAGATCACAAAATCATAAGTAAAACCAATAACAACCCTCTATAACAGTCATCCTAGCTGTCTAATTGTTCAACAACTGGGCATATAGTCAAAGGGCATGATCATGCCCAATATCTGCTGAATTACCCGCGACATAATGACAATTGTCCCACTCCAACAAAGTATATGATCAATCGACGCCATATTGAAAGTAAGAGTATCTAAAAATGAAAAAGAGCAGTGTGTTGCCATTTACTTACCCTTGTCCGAGCAAACAGCTGAGGGACAGGTGTTAAAATAACACATCCTATGTGAACAATCAAAATTCCACTTTCTAATTTCAATCTCTGCAAGTATTGACAACTGCCGCTCCTACGTTTCCTGCCCCGAAGGAAATGTCTCTCGACTCAGTATCCTCTCCACCCATGAAAACAAAGAGCCCAGCACAACTCCAAAAAAATAAAAATAAAAAATCTTTTACATCATTAAAGAATAACTATACAAATCTTAAAGGTATCCACGATTCATTCAGACTAACCATATGTCAAAAAAGAAAAAGGAAACAAATGATGCCTCCAGCAAGATTATTACATACAAGCGGGAGCACTTTTTTCACAACAAATTACTTAGGTTGTTTTTGTTATTGTTCATATTTGATCAAATCTGACATTCTCAAATTTTATTTCAATATATTAGATTCTACAGATTCAGAGAGATATATTTCCATCAGAATACACTGGGAAAATTATCATAAGATATTACAATGGCATTCCCTGAGAGAAAAAGAAAAGAAAATAGCAAAAATTAACAGAATAATAAATACAAAGGATGTCCGTCGCAAAGTAGTAATGTGCCAATCTTAAAATGGGAAGGCCTTGAGTCTGAATCCCACTGTTTCCCTGAACAAGTTTATTTTAAGTAATAAGGCTGTTGCCCAGACTCTGAAATGGCCTTATTTTGTCGAAAAGGAAGTAAAACTCAACTTATTTAGCAATTGATAAATAATCTAGATAACAACAACAGTAGCAATAATAACACAAATAATAATAATAAAGATGATGAGAAGTACAGTACATATGCCAGAAAGCCAATGCTTTGACGGAAAATGATGAAAGACGCCAAATGTCAACTTGATTATTTTTTTTTCCAACAAATTAGAAGCAGAAGGGATATACTCTACATTATGCACTTGAAAAGTAAAGAAGACATAAATATTTCTTATTTGGAAATCATGAGGTATTTATCAATACTAAAAAACAGGAGCTGCAGTAGTCTGTACTTGCAGTCATTATTCCAAAAGTGTGTTCCTCAACAAAACATCTAACAATGAACATTGCAAAAGTAATCCTCACAGCTCAAATTAACGGGTTTTAACAACAACAGAATACAAACAAAAGGAAACGCCAGGTGTGAAAACAAGATTCCGAAAAAGATTTCATCTCACAGAATGGAATGAACTCTGTTGAGGGTGTCCATATGAACGAGTAATGTTCAGAATTTCAGTCAAAAGGTTGCAAGTTACAATCTCACCTCTATTGTATTCTTAGGAAAAAAAACTTCCATCTTATTTTCCCCTGCACACCCGCCACTTTAGAAAGAAAGAGAGAGAGTAGTATGGGTCCAAGCACTGAAACACAAGAGCCTTCCAGAAAGCGATACCGCATTTTTGGAACGAATCAGCTGATGAAGGAGTTTCAGCGAAATCAAGTGAGCACTGGAGGGGGACGCTGGATTATAAACATAAGCACATTAACTTTATTATGAGGAAAACATTGAAATGAAAACATAGCAGCCTCCACATAGCATCTTTGTAAGATTCTGCCTTAAACATTCCATACTACATATACCCCATGTTCTTAATTGTCTAATCTTATTCGTTCCCTCTTATTAAACATCAACTAAGAACAGGGACATGGATATTTCCGTAATCAAATTCACTCACATCCAATCATTTCCCGACACTTTCACACGATTCGCTTATTGTACATTATTATTCTTCAACATCAATACATACTGTCATAATTTACAGTTGATTGATCCGTCTTTATAAATCAAGACACCATGTTTATGAGTAAATCAGTATAAAAATTCTGAATCAAATCAAAAAGAATCAGATCTTCAAGAAAAACAAAATGCTCAGTAACAGAAGGCACATGACAATACAAGACTCAATGTGTAGTGTTCCTCTTAAGCTGATCCTTATTTCTTTGATTACTCTCGCTTGACAACACACCTCCGGAGTTCAAGAAAAATACATCAACATGACGACAACAATTCTCTTTCACAGGAAATAGGGGAAAGGGCAAGACAAGACAGACAGAATATTACTTAGACGGATAGTTAAATAAAAGAAGGTCGTACCAGTGGTGCCCTCCAAGAATACACATATGAAAATAGAAAGTATTTCAAATGGACAGATACAAACAACGTCAACAAAACTAGGTTGGATTGTAATAGCATAAGCGACGTTCCGAGGGTTCCAACTTGAACGCCACGAGGGTTGGTCAGTAAAGAGTTATTGTACTTTGGTGCCCCTCTATATTGAAGTAACTAAGTTAGTAAAATGGTTACTTAGCTGTGTCTTCATCGGTGCTGATTGTCTGCTCAAGACTAAAAGTATAATCTTCAATTGCATATGAATTTCCAGATAAGCAAGAAGTCTTGTCATTAAAATAGGGGATAAAAGTTCTGGTTCCACTACAAAGAAAAACACAAACTTTATGTGTTTCTTAAAAAAAAAAAAAGAATTTTCTTTAACATGTGCCACATAACAAAATAAACTTCTTTTGAATTGATTTTTAAAACTCACATTGTATCAAGCAAAACTGCAGTCAGTGTTTCCTAAGGAAAGTGAGAAGAAGTGTATTACGAAATTGGTCACATATTTTTCATACTAGAAGAAAACAATTGTCATGATTGCACCATTTTTGTTCCCATACACTACAAAGATCATGAGTCGCAAGCATCCACAAATGCAATTTGTAAATGGCACATAATTAGCTGCTGGATTTTACAAGATACAAATAGGAATGAATCTAAACCATGATACAATGTTACACGCAAATAAAACATTTAGGATTAGCATTTACGCTACTTGCGAATTACTCACTGTTTTCTCAGAAAGTGCATCTGGTAACTACAAACGCCAAGTAGTAGGGAAGAGCATATAAACGAACAACTATACTGATAGTTTTACAATGGACATCCGAACAGATTGGGGGAGGTTGTTGTCAAAAGATTTCTTACGAGCATATAGGTACTAATACTGCAAAAATTTCATGGGAAAATTCAATTCTCACGTGTTTATCATGACTTTTTGAAACATCTATACTGCTCATAATTCTCTATTCGTGCCACTTTAAAAAAGAAAGGACTCGAGTCCTGTCTACCACCACTAAGCAGAGAAAAATATCCAATTTATAAAAGGTTCTTAAGCTGATCAACTAATCCTTATGACAACTACAAAGCAGAAAAAAAAAAATAATCCCAAAAACAAAACAAAAAACCCCCCACCTCACACCACATCACCACCATTGCCAGGTTGTGGTGGAAGCCAAATATTCCAAACCCTTCAAATCAAAAGCAGCCTATAAAACAAACAAAAAGCAAAGATTATATTTTAATGTGCATGTGAATCTGAGCAGAGAAGTGAAAGAAGGTGAAAACAGTGGGGGGAATATCTGGTTTAATTTGAATAGATATCAGAACTACAAGACTCTCAATATAACCCTCCTTCTAACTTTTGTTATTGCTTCCCCCCTAGAATAGTTTCCCTAATAATTCTATTTGAATCCAAAGTTCGACACATATGAGCAACAGTCATCCCAAAAAACCCTTTCCAGCCAGCAAAAGTTACGGTTTATACATATTCATTTTTACATTTAGATTACCGTGAAAAAGGACTGCAATAGTTAACGTCCAGAAAGACCTGCCTGAAGTCTATCTCTACTACAATATTTTCCCGTATTCTTCCAACCGCAGTCATCCTTCACCACATCATCACAATCCCTCCTTCTTCTTTTGAATCACGAAAGCAATCAACAGACAGAGAATACTACAAACAGTTATACATCAGTGCACAGAAGTAATACAAGTAATTGGAATAATATCAATCAAAGATATTTAACAACCTGCAATTGCACATTCTGGGCTTAAAATGCTTCACCCAATCAATAAACAGCAACCATTTATCAAAATCTTCTTGAATCACTGAAAAAAACAAGAAGTGGGGAGTACACTTATTCAACTAGTCAGGGATGGATCGGGTCGGGTCAAAAAGTGAGGCTAAGACTTATCAAAAGAAAAAACACTCAATAAACTTGGACCTCTACAAGACATGATCCCACAAGCAATTTTGTTGATTATAATATGAACCAATGAAGAGTGGTTAGTTTTTAGTTTTAGTAAGAGTTTACGGCACTTGCGACACAATACAGTCAAGATTCAAAAGTGTACGGTTGAACTTATTTAACACTCCTTTAAACAAATTAACAATTCAAAAGCTGGAGTTACATAAGAGATGTTGCTATGATCATCAAAGAAATGATAATACCTCATTCCAAACTTTTAATAAAAATGTTTCTTATCTTCCGTTGATTGTCATGTTCAACCCCAAAAAATAACAAGATCGATTAGGGTCTCTCAAGTCGTGCCGCATCAAAGTGATGTCAAATCTAGAGACAAATTATGCAAGTTTTCTCTGACTACAATATAATTTTGCGAAAAACCAGGACGGTGTCGAATCAGAGTACACCCCACTTCTAATCAATGTAAAGTTAACATAAAAAAAAAAAACGCTTGGTTCCCATCACGCATGACAATTGGAGGCGAAGAACAACAGCCAAACAACTGTGTCCCTCCCTCCATCCATCCAACGAGGAGGAGCACCAGGGCCCCGACGGGCCGAGCGACGACCACAAACCTACACCATAATCTCATCCTCTGGAGCAACTATCGCTGGAGCCTGTTGCTGCGGCTCCCCTGAGTCTATGGAGTCGTCTTCTTCGCTGATTGGAGATGATCTTTCCTTCGTCACTGGACTGGAATCATTTTCAGATGAGTTTGAATCTAAAAGGAAAATAAATTACAATTGTGAGTGAGTAAATAGCCGAGATGATGAATACATAATACAAATACATCATACATTCATTATCAGAAACGAAATATTGATTGTTCAAAAGTACATTCAGGCGAAGAACAGTTATATTTTTTAAGAGTACACGACCAATAATTATTATAATTACAAGGTTTATCATATTTGATATATTCTATATCTTTTTGCATCTTAGCTTTCTTTACCTTTTATTCTCAGTTTTGACAAACCACAGTCTGCTGTAGAGAACTGTTTGTGAGCTCAGAGAATCGATTAAAAAAATTATGGCGTATACATCACATCATTCCACCTTCAATGAAATTATTTCACAGAACAAATAGTTTGAACAGTTCGAAAGTAAGATAAACTTCCTATACATTTATAAAATCATGGTTTCTTCCAATACTATTGGTGAATTAAATGATTTCCTATTTGATGCATAAAAATATACTCTTCATTGGGAAAAAAACTGGAATAAGCTTACACTTCCAGACTATAATATCTGTGGATACTTGTTCTTTAAAAAATTACAAACTAAACTAATCAAAAATCATTTCCCCAAACGTTTGCGCACTGCAGGTACCCTGGGTGAGTACACCTGGTTCAGCAAGGTCAGCTCTCACAGATTACTTCATCCCACCTCAAACATTAGGTTACTTCATCCATGGCCAGCATGCAAGGATCCTTACTCACATATCACCAAATCTTTTCCCAAACAATTTTGTATCTTTAAAAGGGGGGGGCAGCGACAAGTAAATTAATGACACAAATGTAAATATTTTAGTTAGATTTTTTTCCATGCTTACTCGAGGAAACAAGCGACTCAAATGGACTTACTACAAATACATGGCTTCATAGTTCGAACTACAAAATGCCACAACAATACCCAATTGTAAGTCCACCACTATGCAAAATTCTTAATAAATATGTAAACAGTAGTCACATCACCTTCAGATACATGACTACTCAGGATGCGAAACAAAGTAAAATAGTGATTCAGCACACAGAAAATGACACCACAATCCAACCGCTACACCTACTCAAACAATGATACATCATAGAAATAGCATATAAACAGGAGATAGCAGCAGAACAATAACACATAGCTATTGACACATTCATCTTTGGAAACATCCCCATATTTCTCACACAACCCCATATTTCCCACTGAAATTGACACGGTTTCTTCAGAAACCGACAGCTCAGGGTAAGACTGTGAAATTGTGAATGGCGGAGTCATACATGAAGCAGTCGAACTGGTTGTACCAACATAAACTCTGTAACACATGACAGACACAGTAAGGTTGCAGAGAAAGCTGCACAAAGGAATGAACTGGAATTGTTACAGGAAGATGTGAAATCTGCAATAGAGAATGAACTGAAACTGTTTTTTGTTTTAGTAGAGGTTTTACAGCCCTCGCAACTGCATAAGGTCATATGAGCGCCAAGGGGTGGATATCAACAGAGAAATCCTTTCAGGGAATGACTTACTCTGCTCACCTCTCTAGCTTCAACAGTACAAAGTCTGCTTCGACAATCAAGGCACCCCGGAAATAGCGGGTCACAAGAGTGTGACAAACATACAAAAGAAGTAGAGGAAAATGACAATAGTAAGGATTAGGAAAGGAAAAGCTGCAGTTCCCTGTTGTAGTTCAGGCACAGTTATGAGCATGACATTGTTGGATCAGCCCATTTACAATTCTACTGCGCATTAGAACGAGAAATGTGTCCGCTTTGGGAATGGCCTAAAGACACTTCAATCAGTGGCATCGGCCCGGGGGGTTGGTGCTGTTGTAGCAAGACATTCACAAACTTCACCAGAACAAGCACGTTTTTGAAACACATTATCAAGACAAAATACATGACGACAGAATAAATGAGACTACACAGGATGATACCACAAAGAGGTAGTCATGAGAAAAGTACAGAAAAAGTTTGGTACAGCATACACTCTAAAGATACGTTTTCAGAACATCCAGAGTACAAATGTCTACAAAAGTTCTTCTTCACAAAGACGTTCACAGGAAAAGCTGCATGTTTGTTGTGTGTTCAAAGGCTTATCTATGTTCTAAATGCCCTTTCAGCGGTGCTTTCTACACAACAACAAGCAACATTAGGAGCACACATTACCACACTCACTTCCTTTACAAAAATACAATGCATGCGGAAATACATTGGCAGAACTACGCCTTCGCTCAAAGACAAAGAGTATGAGCTGGAAGGACGCTCACGCAGGTCAGAGAATGAAGACAGTCAAAATAATACATGACGACATGAAAAAGAACAGAGAATGTATGGGAAGAAGCTGAAGCAACATTAGAAAATCCCCTCAATGGCAGTGTTAGTGTTATTCTCACATCAAGCCCACACGCCACTTCCACGATCTCACAATTAGCAAGATAGCTTCACTAAGACACACAAAAACTTGGACAGGGAAAGCTGCGGCTCATGCACTTCTAAATGGACTTGAAAAGGATAGGGAAATAGGTGGGCAAATCTCAACCGATCGAAAGACATAATAATGCGACTTCTTGAGGTTCAGAAAAAGATCTTACATTTACCTTTATGTGTTTGTGTGCATGTGCGTGTGTATGAGTGTTTGTGTGCATGTGTGTATGTGTGAATGTGTGTGTGAGTGTGAGTGTGTGTGTGTGTGTATGTAGTGTGTGCGTATGTGTGTGTATCTGTGTGTGTGCAAGTGTGTATATGCAATTATGTGCGAGTGTGTGCAAGTATGTATGTGTGTGTGCAGGTGTGTGTGTATGTGTGTGTATGTGTGTGTATGAACACATGAAAACAGCTATAATACAAGATGGGGCAGATTCCTCCAATCTCCACAACAAAAAATTCTTGGGCCAATAAAGAACATATATGATCACTTTCACTGGTATTAAACCAATTCTGCCTCTTGCCTACTGCAGCATACCTCACTTTGAATCAACCAATACATAATACAATGAACAACTATTTAATTACATGACGAAAGTAAGACTGACAGCAAATAAAAAGAAGACATTGCAAGCAGATAGGAACAGGATTGACAGAGGAAATTCAAACCTGAGTCAGTTTTGGACTACAAACATTGGCAAGGGAACATACATCAGAGGAACATTTGTACAAAGGGAATGAAGGTCTGCTGACTGCTACAGCCAGCACACGGTCCATAATCAAGCTATGAAATTATTCACCATCAAAATGCACTGAGAATCGAGCATTCTCTGAGAATCCTGGACTTAAACAATAAGAGAGAAGCCATCAGGCTACGAAAAAAAAAAAATCCTGACAATTTCAGGCACCTGGATTTTCAAATTCGTCCCGGAATTCGGTACCTCTGCATTTTGGTTTTAGATTCACAATCATAAGATCATGGGTTCAGTCTCCAACACTGTAGACTAGAACGGAGTTTCCTTACAAAAGGTACTTTAACTTATTTTCTCAGTATACCCAACTGCCAACAGCAAGGAAGTAAACATACTAGAGACTCTAGTATGTTCTTATAGTACTCAAAGAGGTTGCCACGCCATGTTTCCCAAAACAGACTGCGACAACAAGTCACGGGAACCTTCAGTTGTATTAGAAAACATATTTCTGTAATCTCTCTTTAATTTCAAAAGGACTTTTCTTTGTTTAAAGACAACAACGCATGCAAGTCGACAATTTTGACTTCTACAAAAATACATAGAGTCCACACCCAACAGGCGAATACACCAGTGAGCACGTACAACACATAGTATCATCTCATGTACATTGAGAGAGGCTGGGATGAGGAGCGAGTGGTGGTGTAGGGAACCAGCAGGGGTACAAGGAAGTCATATACCTGGAATCAAAACTTTACATCTGGACAGAGTTAGAATGGGGAGAAAATAGCATGGGAGGGGGAGGGGGAGGGGGGTGAATTGGAGTTCCATGCTTCATTACGTCTTTTCCAATTTATGGGCCCAGCTCGAGGTTCGCATTACGGTTTTTGGAACTAGCGTTTGCTATAAAGTGCTGAGGAAGGGAAGGGCACAGATGGGATCTTGAGGCGAGGTGTTCAGTGCTTAGTGTGCGAGCAGTGTACCAAAGTTCTCCCTGCTACACACTTCTCATTTCCCACAAAGGAAGAATGGAACTCCTTCCTTGAAGGCAAAAGGAGGAGAAGGGAATATGTTCGCAAAAAAAGCTGCTTTATTTCACTACGGAGGTATTTTGTGTACATTTGTGTTAAAGGAGCAGTGAGAGTGAGACAGAGACAGCAACTTACCCACAAAAGGCATATCTTCGTTAGGATTAGTCCTTGCCTAGCAAAGAGACAGCGAGGTACAAATGCAGGATCTATATATTATCAACTGGACTAAAACAAGCCTTTACCAACAGGAAGACTTCAGGCTACAACATCCTGGCATTGAATGATAGGGCACGAACCCATCAGCAGTCAACAACAACAACAACAACAACAGTAACAGCAACAACAACAACAACAACAACAGTAACAGCAACAACAACAACAAATATATAATATAAGCTTATACACATTAAAGGGTTATTCTCCCCTGCATTTTTCCAGGAAATTTTAGGGCTACTTTGTTATGTTCAAGTCTTCCTGTCTTCTTTGTTCCAATATCTATGACAATGTCCTCAAAATAAATGAATTCTCAAAATATGAAAATTCATAGGTTAATATATATATACATATATACGGATGCAAAAACCCAAAGAAACAGTGCCATGAAAAAGATGAGAAATAAACAAACCACAATGGTGCTGCTGTCGTGTCAACATTATGCAAATTGCAAAGTGTCTGTGTACATAACACTGTGAAATGTATCTATATTCAAACATGCAATCCACTGCATTCCACATGACAAAGGAAGTTGACTAAATATCTATCAGAAACTGCAACCACCTAACAGAACTTGCTACAGAATACACAACGAGAACTCGCAAAAAAAAATTAAAAATTGAAAAACTAATAAGGCAGATAAAAAAAAAGGAAGCTGTATTTATACTTAATATGAACATGTGTTAAAAACTATATATTTCACTGAGTATGACACGTCTCAATTGTTAATTGAGGTCAGCATTTTAAAACGCTTTGCTATGACAAAAAATATCCGTCAAAACCGGAAAAGGAAAGTTTTAGTAAGTCAGCTGCCCGACACAGGCCACACACTATAACTATGATGACTAAATCATCACATGTTTCCAATACCACAAGACAAGAACCAAGAACAAAATGTGAGCAAGGGGCTCAAGCTGAACTATCATGACAGATTCCACTTCCCCTCATAAAGACAACTAAAGAGAAAGGAACCTATTGCACCAAAAAAAAAAAAACAGAACGAAAAAAAAACGCTTGACCTATCACCACTACACATTTTCTCTACCCTGGGAAGAAATAAGGGCAAGCAGAATGAGATTTATCTAAAATACTAAATATGCTATTCCCCATCGCTCAAACTACCTCCTGATGCTATTTCTTTACCCCAGGTAAGAAAGAGAGTATACAATTAATTATTCAGGTGATCCATCTAGGCTAAACAAATCAGTTTAAACTTTTACTTACAAAATAAGATTAAACCTTAATGGACTCAAGCATTATTACTTGAAAGGGTCAGTGGTGTGAAAATCAAACAAAGATAAAACAGTTATGAAGAATTTCAGGGAGGAGTTACTATTTAAAAAAATGGGATATATTGTTATGAGGGGTAAATAAAAATTTTTGGTGTTGAGTGAACTACATATATTTACTCCCTAATTTATCACATTTCAGTCATTTTTCAGTTTCAAATCTGTTTCATTTTTTAACTTTTTTGCTATTTACTCTTTACTTTATGCTCTGCTCTTATGCTTCCTATTTAAAGTTAAAGAGTTAAGAATTTGATAGTCCATAAAAAACTGGTTTAGCTGTTTCTGTATACCACAAGAACACTTTTCTATACTTGTCTTTTGTTCCTCCAAAAATTCTCTCTTTAGATATTAGTTTTGACTCCCCATATCAACACACATATCCCTAAAGTTAATCCTATATTAATGTATAGAAATCCAACACAGGAAAAGTGACAATAGTCAAAACATTGTTCTATCTCAGCATTTAGCTTACAGTGGATTTTGGTATCAACAAATCAAAGGCTGCACATATGGATTATGACGAAACTTTAACACCCCCCACCCCCCCCTCCAATTTCCACCCCAACCCCTGAACTACCTACCTTCTGGAATGGTGTCAGGCAATTTGGCATCTTTGGGTAACGACATGGCCTTTTGTTTCGCCAGCTGCACGGCGGCTGAACTATCCGAGCCAGCAGTCGGGGGCAAGACCTGGCTTTGTCTCAGACGTTTGATTTTATCCTTGACCGAAAGCCTCAAGGTCGCCGAGTCATAGACTATACCGCTGTCATCCGGGGCATCTGACGGCGATGAATCTGAGGCTGCCGTGTTTCCTGTTACCTCAGGCGGAGTATCGCTGGGTTGTGACACGGGAGGAGGAGTCGGAGTGACGTTGTCTTCTTTCTTCACCTCTGGTGCTTCTTTCTTCACCTCTGGTGCTTCTTTCTTCACCTCTGGTGCTTCTTTCTTCAGCTCCGGTAGTGCAGAGTCTGGCTTTGGAGAGGTTGGGGAGGTAACCTCTGACCCCGGTGCAGAAGGCTTGGGTGCTGTGTGAGCATGCATCCATTACATTAATGCCAAGAACAAAAAAGGTGAAGAAAAAAAAGGTAAAAAAACTGCTGGTGCTGGCGGGTTGAGAAAAGACAACATTCAAATACTGAACCATGCAACATTCGGTGCAGAAAGAAAAAAAAATTCTACTTTTGGGCAAACTACAATATTAAAAAAATATATGTATTTCTTCACAATATAACAAGACAAACTCTTTATTTGTAGCCTACTAACCGACCGAAAGAAAAATCAGAACTCTGCTCGCCTCTACATCACAGCATATAAAAAAGAACAGTAAAGAGAAAAATTCCATGAAAGAAAGGTCTTTTGAACACAAGCAACAAGTTTGCGTTCTCAATATTGTTGCTGCTTTAAACATTCAATCACAACAATCATAACAATTCCCCAGAAAATCTTTACTCTTAAAAATTGCCCTCTACCGTCTTCAAGCACCTATCACTCTATCAATTTCTATTTCTTTCTTTTTGTTTTGTTTTTTTTTGGGCAAAGAAGAAATGGAGACAAAAAGGATCATACACAAACCAGCTATTGTCATTGAAATACTCAGTTTTTGACTTATTTAGGCTTAGAGGTATAAAAAAAAACTGAAGAAACATTACTAACATTCAGTACAACTAGGAAGGATTGTCGCCAATCCAGAAAGAGAGATGAATTAGCAGCGAGATCCTTTTCATATGTCTCCTGAATCCTTTTTTCAAAATAAATAAGAGAGCACAATATTCTGTGTCAACAAAAAACGAATTATTGCTTAAGAAAAGCAACAAAAAAATTCATTAAAAAATCAATAAAACTAAAAATACAATGAACAACATTCAAAACTGCAGAACTTGGTGAAAGTGAAATCAAACAAATGAATAAGAATCCATAAAAATAACAGAAGCACCAAAACGGCTGTAGAAAGATGATAAAATCACAACAAAAAACATCAACGCTAGGGGAAGGGATGATTTCCAATTTTAAAAATGACAACACTGAATGCACTGTGAGTGGACAAACATGGCAACCAGCTACACCGATCACTACAGCATGCAACGGCGCCACGGGCACGGGGGCTCTGGCGACGTGTAACACTGACAACTCAAGGCGCTTCCACTGAACAAAAAGTTTTTGGTGTCATTATACTCACACTCCACAACTTATTTAGCTCTCACTACGCATGTGAGTCAGACGCTGTAAGGAAAACACAACCAGTGAGAACAAGAGAGAACAGGAGCCAAGTCATGTTAAATCGAGAGCAAGACACGGCATCGTGTTAGGCATACCAAAACACGAAGTAATCATCACAGACATCTCAACCAGACGATCGCGTTGCTACCTCTTTCCTTCTGTTAAGCTTATCCTTTTCAGAGAACAAAGAGGCAAGAAAGTATGCTCAAACCTCCTCTAATGGTCACGTGTCCAAGATAATCACCTGTACTAATGACCACTTCCCACTCTCCCTTTGCGTGTTTTAATATAATAATGATACTGTCCAAGACGCCCACCTGTCTAATACAACCACTTTTCTCCTTTACAATGGGTGGCCATCTTGAACAAATTCTACTCCACTCACTCCAAAGAAAAACATTTCTGTTCTTTTTTTTTTAATAAAGAAACAGACATTGAGCTTTGGGAACTCTCTTTAAACCTTTCTATCCGACTAGATCAGCAACAGCAATTACACTGAATCAATAACAATAAACTCTGTCACTTGGGTTAGAAAACTCTACCACATTTCCAGAGCCCTAATTTTGTTCACTTATGTTCTCTGCATTTTAACAAATACTCTATTTTCAACATGACACTGTAAAACTTGCCACTTTCTCCAGCTCACCGACCACCTGAGCTAAAGGGAATACAGTGCGTTTCTATTACGCTTGGAACACTGACTAAAAATATTAATTGCGCACTCATCATTGGATACAGCCTCTTGAAAAGACGAAGTACGCAAAAAGGCAAAAGGCCATTAATGAAAGTTCAACCAGGATGATGGCTTTTCATGCCTTGAAAGCACCTCAAAATACAACTCGTCAGTTAAACGCATTTGCTGCACCAAACAGGGTGGGAGGAGAGATCAATCTGTTTCAGCAACAGAGCTCTTTACATGACTACAAAACAGTTGATTTCTAGAAAAGTCCAGTTCTTATTTCTAAATTTGACTAACCTAGCAGTAATTTCTTTACAGGTAAAGAAAAAATGGTGTCACTGTTGTATGATACAAGATGTGAAGAAGTAGCTGTGCTGTTCGCAACATGCATATAGTATGCAGACACTTCGGTGGGCAATGAATATTACAGACAGAGCATCATCACATGTCGAAGCATGAGCAAGATCCAACAGGGTTTCTTGATATACATGAAAGCATAACTTGAAGAAACAATATTATGCTAATGTCAAGATATATTCATTGTAAGAAGTAAGGATAACAAGAATACTAGCATGATGATTTCAAGAAGTAAGTGTTAACCAAGAAAGAGATAGAAGATAAAGGGGAAATAAAAGTACGACCCTTACATAGAGGTTCATTTGATATTATTTAACAAATTACTCGGTATTAACAAACTTTCAACACCATCTCTTATCTATACAAAAAAGGCCATCCTTATTAATACAGTGTGAGAGATGGCATGTAGAAAGAAATGATTCACGAATACTCTCCCTTCCTGAAAAAAAACCCAGTTTGACAAAACATTATGAAAGAACTACAAAAGACATCAACTGTGTACAGCATTAACCGTAACATGTATAAGGCCAGGGTCTCACCTGTCGTGTCCTCTACATCCTGTTTACGGGGTCTGGGAAGCACGGGAGGTCGAGGTTTGATCGGAGGAGGAGGGCGTGGCCTCGCTGCTGGAACTGAGGGTGAGAGAACGCAAAAGACAAGGTAAAAATTACTCCAATACCTACAGGCCACACTCATATATCTGCAGCTATATCTCTTCTCATTTGAGATCTCCCTATTTCTAAACTTAGACCTCTAGTTGTGAGTGCTTGGCGGATGCTCTGGTGTGCTTTGTGCCTCCTTTCCTATCAAACACCAATCGTCCTTATCTCTCCTCCTTCTTTTTTATGTTTGTTACTCTCTTATAACACCTCTAACCTTGAGCACTTTTTGGACATTATTGAGTTGCATCCTTATCTCTCCTCCTTCTTTTTCATGCTTGTAACTCTCTTGTAACACCTCTAATCTTGAGCACTTTTTGGACATTATTGAGTTGCACATGCCGTAAAACTCGTACTAAAACAAAAATCTCTCTTTATTTCATGTCAAATATCTTGTTTTATTACATTCCATAGGATCTAAGTTCTCTCCATTTCCTATGTCGTAAATCATGACCCGTGCCTGTAGTGTAATGGTCAGGCTTTTCCCCCGTGGCAAGCAAAAGACAAGAGTTTGAGTCCCACATGAGAAACTTGGTTCCTAGAGTATCCGTCTGCTACAATACGGTGTACCACTCAGCTCCAGTTGGCCCTGACAGGCGCAGTCAAAACAGTCTACCTCCTGAACGATCTAACTTGTGTTGATGCGGTTGTAAAATATTCACATCAACACAATCCTCATCTATCATAACGCCCCCGCCAAATGATCTTCATTGTGTCAATGGGGTGTGAAACATTCACAACCAACACAATCCTCATCTATCCTACATGAACTAACCCTTCATTTACTAGTGAATTCAATCATCATCTATCCTACATGAACTAACCCTTCATTTACTAGTGAATTCAATCATCATCTATCATACCTGATCTCATCTATGTGTGGTTGGCGGGTGCTCTGGTATGGTTTGCTCCTTCTTTCCTATTAAAGAACTATTGTTTTTATCTCACTTCCTTCTTTTTTGTGTTTGTTACTCTCTTTTGACACCTCTAATCTTTGACACTTATATAACCTTATTGTGTTGCAAGTGCCCTAAAACTCTTACTAAAACTAAGATCGCATTTATCATTTACTAAATAATACAATCATCCTCTATCATACCTGGGCTTATTTATATCTATTTATTAATACAATCATCATCTATCATACCTGGTCTCATCTATCATTTACTAACTAATACATTCATCATCTGTCATACCTGGGCTTATGTATTATCTATATATTGATAAAATCATCATCTATCATACCTGACCTCATCTATCATCTACTAATTCATACAATCATACCTGACCTCATCTATCATCTACTAATTCATACAATCATACCTGACCTCATCTATCATTTATTAATTCATACAATCATACCTGACCTCATCTATCATTTACTAATTTATACAATCATACCTGACCTCATCTATCATTTACTTATTTATACAATCATACCTGACCTCATCTATCATTTACTTATTCATACATTCATCATCATCCATCATATCTGAACGCATCCATCGTTTACACCAAAAAAAAACCCCCAGGACATGTCTCCAGAACCCACCAGGAGCTGCTGCGGTATCTTTGGAAGAGCTGGGTGCGGAGTCGTCGAGCAGCACTTCCGGGGTGGAGGTGGTCATGCTGCGCGGGATCTCCATGGACTGCCGGGGTTTGGTCTCCACCGTGGACAGCGGACGTTTGGGAGGGAGGAGGACGCGAGGAGCGGGGGCCGGGGCGGCGACAGAGGGCACTTTGGTGGCGGACAGTGTGGGCGATGAGGCTGGTTTCGGGGGTGGGCTGGGAGTGGCGGCAACGGGTTCTGGAGGGGTTTGTTGGTCTGCCGCCGGTTCCTTCTTCACCACCTCCGGTTTCAGCGGCAGAGGCTTTGACGGAACGGCCGACCTGCTCTTTTCACCGGGCTCGCTTTTTTGGGTGCTGCCGCTGATGTTGTTGTTTGTTTCTGGGGACTTGGGGGAATCCGGAACTGGTTCTTTGGATTCCTAAAAGAAAAGCAAAAAAAGAGGTGTGGATATCCGTAAAACGTAAGGTGCCCAATTTTCAGGGCATCAAAGATCCCTTTATGATTGGAATATCCTTATAGCCCAAAGTCTGATACTTAGACTTAGAATCTCTCATTCATAAAGACAAAGTTGTACAACAGTTTGGTCATTTAGGAGGTTAACTGCTTCAACCGTGAATACCAGCACTTGGGCTGTGTGTACAAACCAGTAGAAAAATATAAAATCCTCTTTTTCCCCACTGAGAGAGCCAAAACAATATACCACACAAGCTACAAACAGACAGGATAACTTTCTATCTAGTTCCTTCCTATTTTCTCATTGTCACTTTTTCAATATACTAAAGAAATGAAACAACTAGAACAGTTTGAATGAACAGGTCACATCATGGTTCATTATTCTCTTTTACTCCATTTTTGACAGAGACAACAATATGTATTCATACACATTTAATTTTTAAAATGTAGATGTTTTACGCCTCCATCAACACACTTTAGATAAATTAGGAGGCAGGCTGTGAGGGCCAACCACGGCGGAGAGTGAAACAACGTCCCAGCAGAAAGACAAAGACACTCAATAAAAATTCTCCCCACACAGGAGTCAAATTCAAGCTTTCTGTATGTAACATTGAAGCACCTAACCACTGCACCACAGAGGTCAGAATATGCACTCATCTGGTGCTCATATCAAAACAATCTTGTGAAAAAAGTCAAAGCAGTCACCTCTTGAGGAGAGGTCTCCACCTTGGAGAAGCGCTTCTCCTGTCTCTGTTTCATCTCCTGCAACAAGTTGCGTCCTCCTAAGGCACCGAGGCCCCCGACCTTTGCCAGTCCCGCAGGAAGCTTGGGGACCGTGTCAGGTTTCTCCGACTCCTCCTCAACCCCACCAGACTTGCGATTCTCCGCGACTGAGAAAAGAAAACATGGGATCACTTTCAGAACTAATCAAAATTCATCATGTTATAACGAACCCAGTCTAATTTGACCACTTGAAAGTGATCAAAACAGCTGACCAGTGTGCTTGAAATTTATTACAGTCCGAACCCAGAGGTTGTTAAGTGAAAGCCCAGGACCAGTTTTACTGTATTTGGAAATAATAGTTTCCAGCTTCAAAATTTCCCTGTTGGGGTTGAGTTAAACAAATGTGATGTTAATGGTAAAAAAAAATGGTCAGACAGATAACACAGATAACAACAAATTAAAATTGTAAGGTACATTCTCTTGCAGGTCGCATACAGAGACAGGGAAAAATTGCTTTGCAGCTGGTGTAAGTGCATGAGATGAAAAGAAAGGCATGGAACAGAATGGTTTTCTTTCCAGGAAACTCTTTCCTGCCTCAAATCCAATGAGTAAATGTAGACCTCTGCCTGCATAGACCTACTGTGTGTTCAGTAAGGTGCTGCTATGAAGTTCTTTCACTCACCTTTATTCTCCCCATCTAGACTGGTATCTTCTTCGGTGGCCAAAGTGGGTGCCTTCGGCTCCACGACGCGACTGGGCGGCAACAAGGCAGGCCTATCAGGATTGGGCTTCTCCCGTGGGACTTTCAGCGGTCTGTCTGCTGGTTTTTCCTCTGCGTCTGCTACTACAGCTGAGGCTGCTGCCTTGGAGGTGTTCCTCGGAGGCGCGACCAGCGGGGCAGCTTGCTCCACTTCTCTCACAGCCTGTGGGATCAGACATGACGGGGTAGATAAGTTTGTGTATATTATGGACATTCAAAATAATTTTGTTTGATTTCATAGCCTCTCTACGCACAAATTGATCATTTTAAAGACCAGGCGCAGTCTTTTTTCTGCATGACCATACCCTTTCAGGGAGTGTCAGGGGTAGAAATTATTTTTTTCCTTTCCTTGAAAAATGTCAAAAATGTCTTTTCAGCCAACAAGAGTTGTAGGGAACTGAAAACTTCTGTGATCATAAAGACCTAGTGTGTTCAGTATGTTGCTTACTACACCAAAGGACAGGAGCAGTGAAAATCCGCACTATCTACCCCAACAACAACCACCTCCACACACCCTCAGTGTTCTCAAGTGTGTGCCTCTCACATAAGACTTGTCAGCCACACTTAACTCTTTAAACCCTGAGTTATTTCCACCGTTTCCCAGAGTTTTTCTCTACGGTCACCTAAACCTGGCGCACAATGTCTCATTATAACCCCAAAACTTTGCCTCTAACTTCTAAATGGCAGAAACAAAGGCTTACTCATTACCAATAAACTTGGTTCAGGAATGGTGCCGAAAAACAAGCAAAAACTAGCACTAAATGAAACGAAACAGTTCTCACTGTTATCGGACGCTCCCGGCAGCGTCCGACGGGGAATAGGGTTATTACCGCCGGACGCTACCAGCATGCGATGAGGTTTAAAGAGTTAAGCCCTTAACAAAAAAACCCAAAAAAAACTACATAAATGACATCCTTTAGTCAAAGTTTTACCTACCATACAAGAGTTGAAACCTTTGGTTGCAAACGCTTTACAACTCTTACTAAACAACCAAACATCGAAGAAGAAACAAACACAATAAAACGAGTGCCCACCTCAGGAGGAGGCTGGTCACAGCTGAGCTTCCTCCCCTCCTTCAAGGACATGGATCTCTCCTCCTGGATATCTTTGATCGGAGCTAGCGGTTCAGCGGGCTGCTCGGGCACTGGTTCCGCCTTGGGAGCTGAGCTCTCAGAGCCTGTACGTTTCTTGTCATCCTTTTTCTTGAAGATGCTGGAAAAACTGGACGAAAATGACTGGCTGTGGGGGAGAGAGACGGGGGGGGGGAGGGATGGAAGTGTCAAAGGTTAACCAGGGACATAAAGGATTATGTGTGAAAAAAACCCACTTTCCAACAGGGTCCTCTAAACAAAAGATCTCACCTGTTGCAATATCGTCTCTCTCTCCCTCTCTCTCTCTCTCTCTCTCTCTCTCTCTCTCTCTCCCTCCCTCCCTCTCTCTCTCTCTCTCTCACACTCTCAATTCAAGACAAAACAAAATTAGATAAAGTCCATCAAACTAAAATACTAACAGAGTTCAAACTATTTATCAATCTCACAGACAGAACCTCGTACATGACAAAGACATCTTTTTACCTCTTTTTCGATTCTTTCTCAGATTTTTCTTCCTTGTTTTTGCCTTTTATCAGACTCATTGGTGACCACTTCTTTCCTTCTGACTTGACACTGAAGAAAAGAGAACATAATTTGTGATACCAAAAAAAAAGTTAACTGTCTTTAAAAATTTTATCATTAAACTCCTTTACACCTGCACAAGTATGGAAGCGAAGTATTTAGTTGATCTGAAGCTGAGGCCACATAACTCCTGTGAACAATCAATTTTTCTGTCATTCTTGAAAACATCCTTGACAGCTGAGAAAATGGCTGAATTTCACATCCTAAGCAGGATGTTCTCAACTCTCAGATACTGAGCTGTTCTCACAGTCCACCATCAGTTCTTCTTGATCCTGTCTAAGATTTTAAAAGTGGAAGTTTTGTTCCATTGAAAGGAGAGTTCATGCTATGTCCTTAAAAAATTGACCATTCCTTTGAAAACATACACCCTTACTTGAAAGACAAGGAACACTACATTCCAGTTGCAAAACAGACCACATAAATATTTGCAGTGTGCACAGAAGAATCAGAAGTCAAGTTAAAATGCTCAGTATCCATGAACTCCAAATTCTTGCTTCCAAAGCTTACTGTTAAGTTTCCATTATGTCACACGACTGAAAGTTATACAGGTGCAAACACTTCTCATAACCAAACCATCATAACAACAATATCTCTCCTTCTACAAGCAAACAGACACTGAAGGCAATCAAAAAGTAATCATGGGACTTTACCAGTACAGTAAAAAAATTATCCAGCCTTATAGCTCCATTCTCTGAACTCAACAACTTATGCAGTTGCGAGCGCTTAAAACATTTACAAAAAAACCCCCCCAAAAAACAAACTTCGGCGCTCATATGACCTTATGCAGTTGCGAGCGCTGTTAAACATCTACTAATGGCGCTCATATGACCTTATGCAGTTGCGAGCGCTGTTAAACATCTACTAAAACTAAAAAAATAAAACTTTTATTTCCCCATTCCCTTCTCTTCATAACATTCGTCCACTCACCTGGTCTCCTCCGGCTTGGCTGGCTCTGATTTCTGTGAGGTTGAGGCAGTTGTCTCCTCTTTCCCCTTGCTGGGCAGTGTGACGGTGGGGGCGGGGGCTGGAGCAGCAGCAGTGGCAGCATGGTTCTTGTTGTTGTCGGGGCCTTCGTCCAAACTTGTCGAGCCTGTTAGAGAGATGTGAGATATTTCAATAAGACATACTTCATTGATCCATTTCAAGAAATTGACTGTGCGCTTTCTTCAGCGTCTGAAGTGCCAAAAGGTTACAAACACATATATCGGAACAGTAAATATGCTAAAACACATACACACAAGGCCTCCATAAC